ACGTGGTCCAATCCAGTTCAAAATTCTCTCCCTGTATGAAGTCACCTCTGGCTTAAATTTGGCTTATCAACCTGTTGTGGGGCTGTAAGATTAAGTCAAAAGGATGGAATGAATAGCATTCTTACAAAACAGGATGTTATCACTGTTGTCCTTTCTTATTTGGAAAACATCATAAAGTTTATAGTCAAATATATATAGATTTATTACCATGTGGTATTTTATTTTTGCAAATAATTTTTTTACCTAATATTATGTCTTCCTCACCTGCTGGAACATGTTCATATTTGGCAAGTGTATGGAAGAGTTAGCTTTTCATTTTCTTACTATTAAACACGTCCTGTAGGCAAACATTTGTATAATCCTGCCCAAGAATTAAGGCCCCTTTCTATTTCTGCAAGACTGGTGCGTACTAGAGACTGGGATTTCTAAGTGGTGGCCCCACAGCAATGGATCTCCCCTTCTGATGGTTTTCTAATCTTATAAACTGCCTGGTGAAAGAGCTGCCTGATTAAATTTGATTCAATGGGCCTACTTCAGTGTGATTTACTACGCTAAGCCCCAGGATCTTGGCCATCACTATTTTTCTACTCCCCACTCTTCGTCCCTGGAGAAAAGCCAGCCTGCGTGGTCTTGGGCAAGCTGCATTGTCCTGGGGCATCTGCACAGGAAGGGAACGGTAAAACCCTTCTGAGTACTTGATACACAGGAAACCTTGGAAATAGTTGCCATTAAATTGGAATTGACTTGATGACATGTGATTATTTATACTTGCCCACTCTCTAAAATTTAGGTAATTTTTATAGTGCTTTATTTGGGAGTATTCTCTTTCTTTTTTTGTCTATTTGTACTTGTTAGTTATTTCTTTGCTTATGGACTTGAAAACAAGAGTAAACTGAAAAGAAAAAGATAACGAAGCATGCATTAACAGCTAGTAATACCCTGACAGCAGTCTGAGTAGCACACAGACAAGCTGACCTTTCCTACTTTAGCAAGACACGATGCATTTCTGTATAGAATTGTTATTTCTGAGAGGTTTGAAGTTCAGTTCCCCACTGTGTCTCTTGACAGAGGATGGACTTGATGATCCATAAGGGTCCCTTCCAGCTCTATTCTAAGATCATCAGCATCAGCATCAGATTGCAGAGCTGGAAAGGATCATTGAGTCCAGGCCCTGTCAAAATGGCACAGTGGGGAATGGAACTCCCAACCTCAATCTTGGCAGCGAGAGACCAAAACCATTAAGCTCTCCCACCAGTTCTATATTATATTAACTTTGCTTTTACACATACAAATGAGCACTTTTATTATGTGCTCGTCTGTGTCTTATGCACTTCCTCTTTGCAGATCTTGGCAGCGAGAGACCGAAACCATTAAGCTCTCCCACCAGTTCTATGTTATATTAACTTTGCTTTTACACATATAAATGAGCACTTTTATTATGTGCTCATCTGTGTCTTATGCACTTCCTCTTTGCAGAGGTACAAAGAAACAGCGAACTTTTACATTCAACCCTTAGAAGAGTCCAGCAAGACTCCCTTATAGGATTGTACAGGATTTTAGCCTTGGAATCCTATTCTAGAACTGAGATCTGTTGGATTCAATAAGAGTAGACAGGGGTAGGTCTGGATTGTAAATCTCTGTATTTCCTTTTAACGTGATCTCATATAACTGATGTGGTGGCGCTGCAGGTTAAACCACAGAAGCCTCTGTGCTGCAAGGTCGGAAGACCAGCAGTCGTAAGATCGAATCCACGTGATGGAGTGAGCTCCCGTCACTTGCCCCAGCTCCTGCCAACCTAGAAGTTCGAAAAAGCATATAAAAATGCGAGTAGATAAATAGGTACCACCACAGTGGGAAGGTACTGGAATTCTGTGTCTAGCCACGCTGGCCACGTGACCACGGAAACTGTCTTCAGACAAAAGCTGGCTCTAGCTGGCTCTATGGCTCGGAAACGAGGATGAGCACCACACCCTAGAGTTGGACATGACTGGACTAAATGGAATGGGGAACCTTTACCTTTACCATATAACTGATGACAAATAGGAATAAATGATCTCTCTGTTATATTTTGAGTGTTTGATATACTGTACATAAACCACAGAATTCTAGCCAATAGGTGGTCTAAAAATGCAATATTTCCATAATGCAAATGGAAATTTGGCCCTTTTAATATCTTTAATGAGAGGGCTTTAGAAAGCAATGGCCAGTGTCCTGCTCAGAGTGTAAGTAAGAGTGATCACATAAATTGTGATCACCCCGCTCTGGCAGGGTGCATGGTGAATCACCCAACTGGTTCTATGGCTGAGCTTGCAAGGAGTGTGAGACTGGCTATGGAAAGAGGAGCCTGCTGGAGTGAGGGCAGGAACATGTATACAATCTCCCTTCCAGAGTCAGGGAACAGAACAAGATATTGACCAGTATGACACAGTCACATGTTTAAAGCTCCAGAATGCTTGACATGGTTCTGGGTATAAATCAGCCCACACTGGCTTAGATTGGCCCAACATAGTCCTTGTAATACTACTTCAAATTCCTTTACCAGTTTTGGAAAGGTGGTAGCCGAAGTGAAGTAAAATGAACTGCTAGACTCAAGAGCCCTGTGGTGCAGTCGTTAAAGTGCAGAACTGCAGTCCTGACTCTGCTCATGACCTGTGTTTGATCCCAACTGGCTTGTGTTGCCTGTTCAAAGTTGACTCAGCCTTCCATCCTTCCAAGGTCAGCAAATTCATTACCCAGCTTGGTGGGTGGGTGGGGGGCAGTGTGTAGTCTGCATAATTTTGTTGCAAACCACCCCAAGAGTGCTTTAAGCACAATGGGGCAGTATATAAGCAGTATGCTTAGCTTAGCTTCTGAATCCATTAAAAAACTCTTGCCTGCTTTCAAGATACACAGAGAAAAAAACAACACATAAGCAGGATTCAGACTGATAGAGAAGATTGCTGAGTTTCCCCCTACCCCCACCTCTTTCTGGTGTTAATGCATTAAAGTCTTAATAACATAATCGTCTACCCTCTGAGCATCTCTCAATTTCAACCCGCAGTGCCATTCATTGGGGGAAGACAATAAAACTCACCGATATGAATAATTTATTGGCATGTCTAGATGACAGCTGCCACGATAAGCAATCTCTTGTTATTTACTTGTCAACATGTGTAATTTGTTTTGAAAAAACAGAGCAGTAAATGTCAGTGACATTTCAGATGGTATTTAAATGATTTTCAATCAATAGGCAGGGCCGTGAATGGCTCCACTCTCTCTCATCCTGCTTTCTTTTGTTACAAGAAAGGTTGAGCACATCAGTGTAATGGCAGAAGTTCTCCATATTTCTAAGGCTTTGCCATTATTTTTAGAAAGGCGATTGGGGCTGATCAATAAGGAAGATTAGATAATGTCAAACCAAAACACAGTTTCCGGGGCCAATACTTAACATTTTACATTGCAAAGGGAAATGAAATCAGTAGACTCTCCTGGCTTTAAAAGATGCTGGAGAAGTTAACTGTGAATGCACCCATCCCCTTTAAAACAAAGTTACATAACCTACATTAATTGATCCTACTTAAAACATTTAAGAAATGTATATAGAACCAAAAATTACCTTTACATAAATAGCACTTTTTTGTTCAGTGAGGAAAACTGATCAAAAGTAGAACGTCTGAGCATAATTACATACACACATATATTTTACACACTACAATACTTCTAATCAGAGTTTATTAGTTATGCTCCATTGAAATTAGCGGAACTTTTGACTGTGCTTGAAATGCTAGAAAACAGAATTTGTTCGGGGTGTATTTTTCAACATTTCATGAAATGTCATTTTACATAACTTGTTTAAAATTATATATAATTAGAATATTTCATATAATTATTTTAAAAATACTTTAAGAATCTTTAAACTACTTTTAACAATGTTTATTTTAATTTTTGTTCAGATTCAAAATCTAAGTCTGCAATATAAATTTCTGGGAGTCATAATTCTAGATCAAAATTGGCTAAATAAGTGAAACTGTGATCTACTCATGTCAACTCCCCCCCCCTTTAAAATGTAATTTTAACTGCCTTATCACAGGGGTCCCCAACCTTTTCACCCTTCGGATCGGCTGGGGAAGGCGGGGCACCCCCCATGCCCGTGTGCATGTGTGAAGAAGTGCATGCTCTCTCACATGCAAATGAGCATGTGTGCGTGCACATGCACAAATGGTGATGGAGTGCTTGTGCAGGCACACACTCATGCACATGCGCAAACAGCAGTGTGGTGCATGTCTGGGCACACTTGCGCTTGTATGCATGCACAAACGGCGGTGCGGTGCTCACACAGGCATGCTGGAGCACACATGCATGCGCAAACCAGCTGTGTGGGGGTGAGTGCGTGCGGGGGGTGGGGCGGGAGGTCTCTGTCTCCGCAGCCTAGTCTGGCTCTGGCCACGGACTGGGGTTGGGGACCTCTGCCTTATCAGACTCTTCATTTTTCATTCTGCCCTAGTTTTATCTGCTATATGTTTTAAGATTCAGCCCGCTATTTTTTCCATTGAACAAATAAATAAAAATAAATATTTTTCCCACTGAACAGATTGTTACCAACAAGGATACAATCATTAGGGTTCCAGAAATGTGACACCTTTTTGGTAAACTGGATTTACAAAGATCTACCAAATTAATCCTCCCCCTGAGATTAAATCAAACTCCTTAGTTATTAAAAAGCAACACAATGAGAAAATTCATATAATTCAGTCATAACATAGTTACATACTGATCATGTAGTTGTGTTAAGGAGACCTGTCTTTATTAAACGCCCATGAAACAGAATGTAGCCTGAACTGGATATTGCACCTCTAAATCGCTTAATCATCTAAAACCCAAACTGACTAATAGTCGAATCTCATCAGCTGTAGTGCTCAGATAGGGCTATTTAGGAAAGTGTTGCTATGTTTTAGAACTATGCTGCTATGAGAGTACTAGAATATTATGTTGATTCTGAATTTTGGGTCAGTGCTGTTAAGCTGACAATAGTTGTCATGATAAGCAGTAAGCGAATGGCATACAAAAATGAAATGGTACAGAATTGAGAGGAGACATGATGGGCTAGGCTTGAGGTGAGGGAATCATCAATCTAGGAGCCTAAAATGTGACTGCACACTTGTAGAGTAGGATTATATTGCAGTGCAGTACTGGTAGGACTCAAATTACAAAGCTAGATGGTGGAAGCAGAAAAACTCAACCTCTTCATCTATGGGGGATGCAATTTGGTGCATACTGAGGGAGGCAAGAGGTGGTAAATCTGGATTTCATTAAGTCCCATCCAAAATGTTCTCCCATAATTTGAGCATAGTTCTGAAGAACTATGTAGGAAATTGTAGATACAGGCACAGGTGGCATTTCCTTTGGTTATTAACCAGGTAGGAATGCAATGTAATGACATAATGTTTGCCTTAAGAAATTTTCCTCAGCTGTATTTGAGGCAAAGGTCCAGATATGACTCAACCTCATATGTCCAGTCCATGCACTGTGTTTGTGGATTTCTCTTTCCGTTTAAGTGACTGGAGAAGGTGATCCATGTGGACGTCTTGTGCAAGAAATTGCTCGTTCTAATGAAAATTTTTCCAAGTGTGTGAGAAACAGTCCTGAGGAAATCTGTGCTGATAGCTTGTTTGTTGTTATTTGCTTAGATCTCATCTGTTTGGAGCTTAGGACAACTACATTCATCTGGATAAGCTGAGGGATATGCTTTAGGATGCATCACTTTCACATCTTCTCTTCTGTTATTTCTATCTTAGATAAACTGTCTGGAGAAATATTAAAGTACACAGGCATCTCAGGAAGGAGTGCTCAAGCAAATGGTCTTTGTAAAAACAAAACAAAAAATCCCTTCAGAATAGCCTCAGAGCAGGTGTTTAGTACCTGATTTTTTATTAGCAATTAGATGTAGACTTACCCTTGGGTACAATCCTCCCAGCCCTAGTTATAAGCAGAAATAACTGGGATTTGCTACAACCCTAGATATGATAATTTTGTGTACCTAGAAAGGAGAACAGCTGTTTCCTAGTCGCCTGTGCCTCAATAAAGTTTTAATATAATCATAAAGCTTCAAAAGACTTTATGGACATCAACTCTATAAATTTAAAGCCTTCAAAGCCCAGAACTTTTCTTTGTTCTTTTTTTTTTAAGCAAAGAAAAATGTAAATTTCCAGAGTTACTTTCTGGAACAGTACTTTGTTTTAAACAAAATAACCATCCTACAACAACCAAGGTGTTCATTATTGCCTGGATGAATCAGAGACATTTATTTGGCTTGCCCTCTCACCTCAGAGACCTATGGATTGACATGGTTAAGGTGTGCAAACTTTCACTCTGTCGCCAAGAATTAATATAGCCAATGAATAAATCACATTGGGGCAAATTCTGTTGGCCGTAACAATAGTTCATCCTTTGTTCTTGAGAATTTTACACAAAATAATCATAACGGTGTGCCATGTAGTCAATTTTGACTTACGGTGACCCTTTCCTGGATAGTCTCAGTACAAAGAACTTAGAAGTAGTTTTTTATTCCTTTGTTATGGGGGTGCCCAGGTGGCATAACGGGGAATTAAATTCTCAGCATTTGGCTCCACAACCAGACCCTTAACTCACTGAACTATCCAACCAGTGAACAGGACTTATATTAACCCTTTTCACTCTGATTTAGATTGCCAGCAGTTGTAACTTCAGAACACTTTTTGCAATTTATGTTGTCAATGCAATCTCATGCATTATGATCTTATTCCATGATTATATTCCTTAGCTCCCAATAAATGGAAAGGTTTGTGATGCCATGCATTCCTCTCCAGTCCTCTGAACAACATATCAGACAGATGGGAAGAAGCACTGAAACTGGAGACAAGGAGCATCAGTGTTACCATAGATTGGGTCAAGAATAAAAGTCTGTATTGGCAAAATGAAGCTGGGAAACTGGGCATAGTATCTGCTTTCACGAAACAAAAATGCTGTTTCAGTCACACTCCTGGAATTTGAGACTGACAAGAGAGTCTTTAGAGATACGTGTGAGAAGTAATATGCTGAACCCTGAAGAAGGGCAAAGACTTAGTGATTCATGGCTTCCTATAATTGACCTCATTAGGAGAGCAGTAAGTTGATTAAGCAATTAGTCCACCTGGCATGTTGTGTGATGTAATCACATTGAGTGTATATTACTGTATGCAATGCAGTTAGTATGCTGTTTATATCCTGAAGATGACAGAATGTGTTTTCCTGTTGAAAGCTTGATCTTTTATTGTTTCCTTCAATTTTTTACTTGGAAACTAAATTTGTTAAGTTGTTTGGGTCAATTTAGTCTGTTTGACTGGGATTGGTCAACTTTTACTTTGCTCTAAGAAAGTAGAAAGTTTTTCAACAACTAAACTGACTAGCGGATGAATGATCAAAAAAATTAATGTGAAAAAGTGAAGGAAATACAAGTGTGAAATGATTTGGGGTTATATACTATCTTCAGTCACAGATGTGAGATGAGCCACTAGCTCTATATAAGATGTTTAAAAGTATTCTTTAACTGCTTTTACTTGTTTATTTGAAAAGACACGACACTGGATTATTAGTAGTCTGGCTGACAAATGAATCAAAAGACTACACCTTTTTGGTTCTGGCCCTGGTGCAAAAACCAGGAGACACAATAAATCCTAAGTAGGGCTTCCTGACAGAGCTTGGGGGAAGGGGAGACACAGTTGTATTAAAAGGTAAAGGTTCCCCTTGACATTTTCAGTCCAGTCGTGTCCGACTCTAGGGGGCGGTGCTCATCCCGTTTTCAAGCTGTAGAGCCAGCACCTGTCCGAAGACAGCTTCCATTGTCACGTGGCCAGCGTGACTAGGGAACGGCGTTTTACCTTCCCACCGAGGTGGTCCCTATTTATCTACTCGCATTTACATGCTTTTGAACTGCTAGGTTGGTGAGGTGCTGGGACAAAGCTACGGGAGCTCACTCCATCGTGTGGATTCGATCTTACAACTGCTGGTTGTCTCACCCAGCAGCACAGGTTTCTGTGGTTTAGCCCATTTCACTACCATGTCCCACTCGTTGCATTAGTCTATCCTGATTCCACAGCCTAATCACCAGTCTGCCAGGTTTGAGTGTCTAAATTCATTGGAAAAAAGTAGGGATTCTATGGGTATTCAACCTACCGTCTCCCTCCCTGAGCTAATTCCTCTTGGAGGAATGCCTGTTGTCTCCTTTCTTCATTGTGCAATAATGACTTTTATGTTCATGCTAGAACTGCAGTGTCAGGAGCAGCTCAGGAGATCATGGCCTTCATGACAACCACAGAGCTGGCCCCCACTTAGTATCTGGTCCAATTCATGCTTCAAGAAACTGGATGGATGTAGATATTAATGAATTTCCTGTTCTCAATTAATTTTAATTAAATATTTGCATTTAATCTGGTCTGAGCAATTTCCCACAAAAAGATTTCAATCACTGCTACCTTTTCTTTTCCATAGATTGGAGCCAAACTAGCCCCCTGGTTTGCTAGGGAGCAGGTGATGATGAAAGTAGAGAGACAGGGACTAGCATAGGCATCCTTCAGTCTCGAGAGACTATGGTAACATAACATGAATCGAAGAGTGTCCTCTCCAGAGCATGAAGCCTGGGTAAGGTAATATGGAGGATAGGCTGTTACCCAAGCAGCAGATCCCCCCTCTCCACATTGCTGAAAAGGTCCAATGGAAAGGCAAGAGCCAATACAACTGGTTCCAGCAATGTCGCAGGAGTTGGCAGAACGACACATGCTGCCTTCGGGACTCCAGCTCCGGATTTTGCCTCAAGGTTAACTCCTGAAGCCTTTTCCATGAGTGGATGTAGCCACAAGGCAGTGGAGGTTTGAAATTGGAGTTTTCCTTCTCCTAGATGGG